TTCATTGCCTTCCTAACAATTTGCAAAACCCATTTTATTGCTTTTTTAGATTCCTCCAGTTGAAATACCACTGCGTGCTATAATTAAGCTAAATGACATACCAGCTGTAAAGACAAGGGTTGTGAATGATTACATTCCGCTCATGTAATCATCTAGTAAGGCCGGGGGAGGGGTGAGGACGTTGGGAACAGCTGCCAGTCTGTCTGATTAGCACTCTCTGCCAGGACGAAGGAGAACTGGGATCTGAAATCACCCTTTTGCGTCTAACAAGAGTTACTTGACCTGTTTGAGGTGGGTTAGGGTTTGTCCAGGGTGGGATGAGCCAGGTAGGTAAGTGGCTCCCATGCCTGGCTTTGCATCAGAATCCCCTGGAGAGTTTTTTAAATTGAAGTCTCAGGGTTGGCAGGTGGCATGGTGGTTAAGGTGCTGGATTCCCACATGACTGTCCACAGTTGGATTCCTGGACCTGGCGGCTTGCTTTCTCACTTTTCTCCCTCTGGTCAAACTGAATAATTGAATAATAATAATAAATTAAATTAAATAATTATTTTTTTTAATTGAAATCTCTCCCTTCCCCAAAATTGACTGAGTAGGACCAGGGAAAACCATGATTGCTTTAAGTTTCCAGATTGTTCTGAGCCTGGGGACTAGGAGAACCTACGCAGTCCAAGATTTTTTAAATTTAGTTTATTATTATTATTTTTAATTCTTTTTTTTTAGAATTATCTTAAGCTTAATTATTCATTAATTTATTTTTTAATTTGATCAGAGTGAGACACACACAGAGAGAGTGAGAGAGAGAGAGAGGGAAAATGAGAAAGCAAGCCACCAGGTCTGGGCCCCGAACCATGGTTGGTGATGTGGGAGTGTCCAGTGTCTTAACCACCACGCCACCTGCTGGTCCCTTATTATTACTTTTTTTATTATTTAATTTTTATTTATTCATTCACTTATTTTAATTTGACCAGAGAGAGATGGAGGGAGAGAGAGAAAGAAGGAAAGTGGGAAATCAAGCCACCAGGTCCAGGACTCGAACTGTGGTCAGCCAGCACCTTAACCACTATGCTGCCCACTGGTCCCCATTATTATTATTACTATTATTATTATTATTTTGAGAGGTTTTTGTTTTGGGAGGTGTGTGTTTGCCAGAGACAGAAAGAGACAGAAAGCCAGAAATCACCCCCCCGGAGGGAACAGCCATATTGTAATCCCCTCTCCGCCATTCTTTTCTCGGGATTTTGGACATGCATGCACATGCACCTGGCATGAGTTTCAAGCCACAGGGTCTGGGACTCAAACCATAGTCGATCATGTGGGAGTTGAGCACCTTATCCACCACACCACCTGTTGGCCCTATTATGACTTTTAACTTGCTACAGAGCATGTGTACTCACCAGGGAAGGAGAGAGGGAAAGTGAGAAAAGCTGCCAGGTTTAGGACTCAAACCGCTGTCGACCATGTGGGAGCTCCGTGTCTCAACTACCATGTCACCTGCTGGCCCCAGAGTTTACCTCTTGATCCTGTTCAGTGCTGTTTTCATTTTCTTTCAGACCTCTCTCAGTCAATATTTCATAATCAATTTTTTCGTTTCTGTTTTTGTTTTTTTAATGCCAAAAGATAGGTGCACTCATCAAAGAGAGAGAGAGAACAAGAGAGCACCTCAGGCCGGCAGGTGGCGTGGTGGTTAAGGTGCTGGACTCTCACATGGCTGACTGTAGTTCAAGTCCTGGACCTGGTGGCTTGCCTTCTCATTCTCCCTCTCTCTCTCTCTCTCTCTCTCTGATTGAATTGAATAATAATAATTAATTAATTATTTATTTTAAAAAAGAGAGAGAACACCCCCATACAATGGGGCGTGGTCACATCTCAGTCCCTTCTCTACTTCTCCATCCTGTCAGGATTTGAGGCATGCACGCACATGTGTCCAGCATGTTTTTCAAGCTGCTGGGGACAAAATTCAAACTGTTCCCTTAACCACTAGGCTATAGGACCAGCCCATATTTACTTTTTTAAGAAAAGAATTATTTATTTAACTTTATTTATTCATTCATTAATTTTTAATTTGACCAGAGAGAGACAGAGAGAGAGAGGGAAAGTGAGAAAGCAAGCCACCAGGTCTGGGACTCAAACCATGATTGGCCATATGGGAGTGTCCAGCACCTTAACCACCACACCACCTGCTGGTCCTTGTCCATATCTACTTTTAAAGTATGTTCATGTTGGGTAAATTCATTTTACAAGTTGTAGTGTTGTACAGTGACTGAATGTATAAAATAAATTGAAAAAGAATACAATCCAAGCAAAGAACAATTAACTTTTTTGTTTTCCCTTTTTAAAATAATTATTTTATTTAACTTTATTTATTTATTTACTTGTTTTAACTTGACCAGAGAGGGACAGAGGGTGAGAGAGAGAGAGAGAAGGAAAGTAAGAAGGCAAGCTGCCAAGTCTGGGACTCGAACTGTGGTCAGCCATGTGGGAGTCCAGCACCCTTAACCACCATGCCACCTGCTGTCTGCCCCCCCTCCCTTTTTTTTAAAGAGATTTTTGCTATAGGGCATGTGCACTTGCCAGAGAGACAGAGAGACTCAGAGAAACAGAAAATGAGAAATCACCCCCCGGGAGGATGGCCACACCATAATCTCCTCTCCTTCATTCTCCTCTTGGGGTCTTGGGCACACACACATGCACCCAGCATGAGTTTCAAGCCGCTGGGTCCAGAACTCGAATTGTGGTTGACTACATGGGAGTCCAGTGATGTAACCATTACTCCATCTGCTGGCCCCTGTTCTCCCTTTCAAAAAAAAATTAAAAATCCTATTTGTTCTTTCTTGTCATCTCAAATATTACCTCTTCCAATGAAGTGGACTTGAGCCTCCTTATGGGTGTGAGGCTGTTTCCTTCTCATCTGCTGACAACTCTTTTCAGTGGCACTAAACTCAGGGCAGCTCTGTGTGGCCCTCCCTTACTCCCCCATACACTCCGCAGGGGCAAGGACTGCCACAAGCACTTCCTGTCCCCCAGCAGCACTCGGCAGTGCTGGTGAGTGCTGGTGAGCAAGGCCCCATTTGGGCTTAGGCAGGAGGTGGGTGGGGTCAGCAGGCAGCCTGACATCTTGCCTTCTCAGTGGATAACTCAGAGCTGTTGAAGTCTCTAGGCAGCACCAGTTACGGGATTCGGCTAGCTTACTGCAAGATGAAGATGTAGCATTCCTTGTAAAGGTATTGTTCAGAATTTTGAGACGGGGACCACAGAGCATTAATCCAAGTGCAGGGCCTTTCTAAGAGTGGGGCCCTGCGTGCTTGCACAGACTGCAGGCCCATGAAGCCACCCTGTCTCTGTATCAGTCGCTGGCACTGCAGTGTTCCTTAGGGAGACAACTAATTCTGACTTCTCCTTATTACAAGATTTCCTTTTTATCAGTTCAGGAATTTATTTGTTTGCTAGAGGGCGTGTGTGCTTGCTAGAAACAAGGAAAGAGGGAAAATGAAAAATCACCCTCAAAGAGGATGGCTATGTTGCAGTCTCCTCTCCTCCATTCCCCTCTTGGGATTTTGGGCTTGCACTCACATGCGCCCCAGCATGTTTTCAAGCTGCTGGGTCTGGGATTCAAACCGTGGTCAGCCATGTGAGAGTCAAGTGCTTTAATCATCATGCCACTTGTTGGCTCCTGGGCCTTCATTCTTTTTCCACCCATCGCATCCTCCTCCAAAGCTCTCATCCAGGACCTCACTCAGGAAAAGCAAATGGGCAAGAATCTGGGCTCACACTCCAGGAGAGGGCAGATAAGGTGAGCTGGGGTCTGGCTAGGAAGGCCCCGTGCTGAGCAGAGCAGCCACAGTGCTCCAGAGGGGGCCACCTCCGGCTCTGAGGCAGCCAGCCTGCCACCCTGCCACCCCGCACAGAGAACAGGGCTTACTGTAGATAAGTTGTCCCAAGACCTTCTTCAAAGTCTCCCGACAGTTTTTGCAATGGATTTGGAGTTTTCTGGGTGAAGGGCATTCAACACTATGTCCTCTATCTCCCCTTGCTCTTCTTCAGGGTCAGGCTCCTTGTCCTGGCAGGCATGGCAACTTATTTTATTCATGTACAGCTGAGGGGAAGGTGTATCATCTCTGCAGGTCGATGGAAGAAACGCCTGCTGGCTGGGTACTCTTGCCTACCTCCGTCCTCACTGGCCAGATCGAGGTGGGCTGGTAGGGGAGGTAGCAGGAGGATGTTTGGGCACCGAGGTGGGCAGGCCTTTGGGTTGGCTGGGGTGGTCTGTCAGGAGGTCTCACTTTAATTTTCAAAGCTGCAGCTGCCCCAATTCTCTTACTCATGGCTCGGGGTTATCCCTCCTGTCCCTGTCTCTTATCTTTGGAGATGAAGAACCAACTGACACAGGCCTATTGGTGGACTGAGGGCTTCTGACTGCTGGAAATCACAGGTTCTTCTCTGAAACGCCTCCCCTCAGATTGCTCTATGTGGGCGAAGTGTCCTAGGTGGTGCCATGTGACAGCATAGAGGAGGGCCACTGGTGGGCAACGGGGTGTGTCTGGGGTAGCACCAATCGACCTGGACGTCATGGTCCTGCAGGCCCGTCAGCTACCTGGGAGAGCACAGAGGCAAGGCTGCTGGCCTCAGTGGTCTCAGTGGTGCTAATGGGAGGTTTTTTTGTTTTGTTTTGTTTTGTTTTGTTTTTTGAGAGGTTTTCGCTACAGGGCACGGGTGCTTGCCAGAAAGACAGAGACAGACAGAGAGACAGAGAGTGAGAAATCACCCCCCGGGGGGATGGCCACGCCGCAATCCCTTCTCCTCCATTCTCCTCTCGGGATCTTGGGCACGCACACACACGCGCCCGGCGTGGGTTTAAGCCACCAGGTCCGGGACGCGAACCATAGTCGACTACATGGGAGTCCAGTGACATAGCCATTATGCTAACTGCTGGTCCCAATGGGAGGTATTTTTAAGACCAGGATATTTGGATAAAGAAATGAAACTTTCAGCTGATTCTGTGGACACTGTAGACATTATGGGAAGACACAAATCATTTCCAGGGAATAAGAGGTAGGAAGGGGAAAAATGGCAGAGATCCAGTCTGATTCTGAAAAGGAAAAAAAAAAAGAAAGATTTTTTTTAAAAGATGTTTCTTTAAAACGACTTTCAGTATATTAAAATCAATGAACACACCATCCCATTCCTGTCTAAGTTCACATCTACAGTCGCAAGAATTCATTTCACCTATACACTGTGCATCTTCCTGTAGCCGTTCTACCGCTGATATTCAATGTGGATCATTTAAGGGCAGCCGAGATGGTTGGCTGGAGATAACATATAGGGGTGGTGAGAGGCTGCGTGCCGTTGGACAAATGACTTAACCTCTCTGAGCCTTGGTTTCCCCATTCGAATAAAGAGGAAAAAATGCCTGAAAGATTAAATAGTATTTGCAAATCTTGTAGTACACCAAGAACAGGTGTGTCTTGGTGCTGTCCATGCCAAGCTCGGCGTACAGACCCAATATCACCATTGCCATGGTCACCAGCACCTTCACTTCAGCAGCCACGGATTCGGCAGGATGTGCCAGCCATCGCACTTCACCAAGCCATTTACTCATCCATAAGCTCCTACAGAATGGGTTGCCATCCTGTCGAATTCAGCTGTACAGATCTGCAGCCTGGGCTTTGGGACCAACCCACTGTAAAAGTGGGCCCAGAGGAAGAATAATGCCATTGTGGAAACATGGAGGAATTTGACAGGGCTCCATCCCTCGGATGGGTCCAGATGGGCTCTAAGGCCATAGCAGAGTGGTAAAGAGAAAGGACCAACAGGCTGTTTGTCCAGAGTCCATCACCACGTGAGGTCGGACGAGTCATTTGATGTCCTTAAACCGTGATTTTCTCCGTCTGCAACTTAGAGAGCAGGTAATAACGACTGCGTGGCCAATGTCACCGGCGATGTGAGGGTTCCACAGGATGTGGTATGCACAGCTGGTATGTGAAAGGTCTCATTACGGTTACGTTTACCGAGATAACCCCGATCCATCACCTGGACCTTCGTGCTGCCCTTCCCTTCTTTCATTCCTGTGATTTACGATTCTCACACCACATCCTGCTCCAGCTGTAGGTCAGCGTGTTGGTGGATGGGCATCCCACGGTCTGTAATTAGCCTTGTGGGTTTGCTTTCTTACGTGATAGTCCTGGTGGTCTGATTAGTTCAGAGAGAAGTTTTAGAAGCCATTGTTTGACCTAAAAGCAGAGGGTGGACCCGAAATCTGCGACCCCGACGTGGCATTCTAGGGGGCCCTGTTTGGTCTTTACCTGCAGAAATGACATCACTTTGAGCCATTACTATGCCCTCGGCTCGAACAGAGGACCAATAAAAAAAGGCCATTCAAAAGGCAGAGAGGATGGCTTCGCGAGCTTAGGACTTGGGAATCAGAAACATCTGACTCAACACTTTCCTCTGTGGTCTAAAATCTGTGGGACAAGACCACCTGGTGCCGTGGTGGTTATGATGGTTGGGGGGCTAGCAGATGGCATAGTGGTACGTCACTGAACTCCCGCAGGGCTGACCGTGGCTTGAGTCCTGGACCAGGTAGCTCAAAAATCACACTGGGTATGTGTGTGTGCATGCCCAAGATCCCAGGAGGAGGATGGAGAAGGGATTGCAGCATGGTCATCCCCTCTGGGAGGTGGATTCTCACTTTCCCTCTCACTGTCTCTGTCTCCCATTCTCTCCAGTGGATAGATGTGCTTGATAGCAAAAAATCTCTAAAGCGAAAAAAAGAAAAGAAAAAAAAAAGATGGCCAGATCCCTTGGGAACAGCAGGTGACATAGTGCTTGAAGTGCTGGACTCCCACGTAGTCGACTACAGTCGATTCCCAGACCTGACGGCTTGAAAATCATGCTGGGTATGTATGCATCCGTACCCAAAGTCCCAGGAGAAGCCCCAGTCTGATCGTGGAGACAGCTCATGCCCTAAGAGAGCTTCCAGGCTAATTGGAAAGACAAAAAAAGACCAAAACAGAATTTTGTGCTTGGCCTTTTTTGCCAAGATGGTCAGAGCCAAATCTAGTGGCCAGCACAGGAAGCAACACATCACACTTTCATGGTATAATTATCTCCTCCTTTTCTTTCTTTCTTTTTTTTTTTTTTAAAGAAGTATTTAATTTTATTTATTATTACCATTTTTAGTTTTTCTATAGAGTATGCATGCTCACCAGAGAGAGAGAGAGAGAGAGAATAAGAAAGCAAGCCACCAGGTCCGGGATGTGAATCATGATCACCCATGTGGGGGTCCAGCACCTTAACTACCTCTTTTCCTTTGTGTGGCTTTTTTTTTTTAATTGACGGAGGGCACATGCACTCCCCAAAAAGAGATAGAAAGACAAAGAGGGGTGGGGAGGGGAAGGAGGAAGAAAGCACTCCCAAACTGGTGGTCACATCACAATCCCTTCTCCTCTATTTCTCCATCCTGTTGGGATTCAGGGCATCCTATGCACATGGGCGTGGTATGTTTTTCATATTTCCAGGGCCAGGACTTGAATAGCAGTTGGCCATGTAAAATCCAGCTCCCCATAACCACTAGGCTATAGTGCCAGACCTCTTTGTATGGCTTCTAATCATTATTTTTAAATTTTTTTTTAGGTTTTTGGAGGACCAGCAGGTGGCGTGGTGGTTAAGGCGCTGGATACTTCCACATGGCTGACCATGGATCAAGCCTCGAGCCCTGGACCTGATGGCTTGTTTTCTTGCTTTCCCTCTCTCTTTCTCTTTCTCTCTGTATTTGTGTGTGTATGTGTGTGTGTGTGTGTGTGTGTGTGTGTGTGTGTGTATGTGTATGTGTCTCTCTCTGCTCAAATTTAAATAAATCAATCAATAAATAAAATTAAATTGAAAATTCTTTAAAAAAATTTTTTTTAGGTTTTTACCATAGAGTATGTGTGCGCTCCAGAGAGGAGACAGACAGAGATACAGTGAGGGAAAAAATGAGAAATCCCCTGAGGGGGAATGGCCACACCCCAGTCCTTTCCCTTCCATACTCCCCCTCAGGATCTTGGGTATGCATTCACAATGCCTCATGTGATTTTCAAGCAGCTGGGTCGAACCGCGGTTGGCTATGTGGGAATCCAGCTGCCTTAATCACCATGCCACCTCCTGCCCCTCATTATTTCATTTTAACTGTCCTACTAAATGTAAGTTTTCATTATAATCTGCCACTCACATCCCCTCTTTATATTTATTATTTGTTTATTTATTTGGGGGCTGACACAGTGTACTTTATTGATGGTTCATGACAAGGTAGGGACCCCTGAGTCCCTCCCCTCCTCCAGGGTTCTGGGACTGAAACTGTGTCACGGAGGGAGTGTCTCAGTGTGTGGGGACTGAGTGGGCGCAGGGCCTCCCCAGCAGCTGAGGGCCTCTCTTCCTATCGCTTGTGCTGGGGCTGGTGGTTGGGAGGGTTTACTCCTTGGAGGCCATCTGGGCCTTGAGGTCCACCACCCTGTTGCTGTGGCCAAATTCACTGTCATACCAGGACCTGACCATGACAAAGTGGTCACAGTCCTAGCATCAAAGGTGGAGGAGTAGGTGTCACTTTTGAAGTCCCAGGATATGACTTGGTACAGCCCAGGGTGCCCTTGGGGGACCCTGAGACACTTGCTTCATCACGTTCTTGACCTTCCAGGCGGCAGGTCAGGTCCAGGACTATGTTGGGGATGGAGACACAGAAGGCCATGTCTATGAGCTTCTCGTTCAGCCCTGGGATAACCTTGCCCACAGCCTTGACAGTGCTGGTTGATGCCAGGAAGATGTTCTGGGCAGCCCCACGACCATCATGCCACAGCTTCCCAGAGGGACCATCCACGGTCTTCTGTGTGGCAGTGATGGTCTGGACTGTGGTCATGAGTCCCTCCATGATGCTGAAGTTGTCATGGATGACCTTGTGGGGGCTAAGTCGCTGGAGATGTAGAAGGCATTGCTGACGACCTGCAGGGAGTTGTCATACTGCTAGTGGTTCACACCCATCACAAACATGGGGTGTTCGCAGAAGGAGGAGGGATAATGATCCTCTTGGCCCCACCCTTCAGTGAGCCCCAGCATTCTCCATGGTGGTGAAGACATCAGTGGACTCCACAACATATGCAACACCAGCATCACGCCATTTAATTTTTGAAAAGAATTATTTATTTATTTAATTCTATTTGTTATTATTGTCTTAATTTGACCAGAGAGAGAGAGAAAAAGGGAAAGCGAAAAAGCAAGCTGTCAGTTCCAGGACTTGAACTGCAGTTGACCATGTGGGAGTCCAGTGCCTTAACCACCACACCATCTGCTGGCCCCTATATCACCCCATTTGATGTTGGTGGGATCTTGTTCCTGGAAGATGGTGATGGACTTCCCATTGATGTCAAACTTCTCGTTCTCAGCATTGATGGTGCCAATAACCTTGACGTGGATGGAATCAGACTGGAACATGTAGACCATGGAGTGTAAGTCAATCAAGGGCTCACTGATGGCGATGACATCCACTTTGCCAGAATTAAAGGCAGCCCTGGTGACCAGGAGCCCGATACGGCCAAATCTGTTTACTCAGACCTTCACCATAGTGTCTCCAGGACATGACTGGCACGGTATGAGAAGATGCAGCTGTCGAATGGGGAGGAGCAGAGAGCCTCCTCTTTATTTTTAAATAGTAGGAACATACATAGCAATAAATAAGTAGCCATTTTTACTTAAAATTTCAGTACAGGTTGAGTATCCCTAATCCAAAACTCTAAATCCAAATTATTCCCAAATCCAAAACTTTCTGAGTGCCAACATGATGCCACAAGTAGAAAACCCCACACACCTAACTCATGTGACAGGTCATAGTAAAAACGCAGACACTACAGCTAAACATGGCAGTATGTACCTATAGTCCCAGCGACATTAGGTGGCAGGAGAGTGGCGGATGATTCAAATGTGTAGCATTCCTCTCTAGGCAGCAAAGCCCAGGCCCCTCCATGTGACACTGTGTTTTAGTGTTCTCTTAAGTGTTTAATAAACATGTGACCAACCTCCATTTATAACCACTTAAGTTCTGGGCCAGCACGTGGTATGGTGGTTAAGGGTGCTGGATTCCCACATGGCTGACCACGGTTCGAGTCCTGGACCTAGTGGCTTACTTTCTCACTTTCCCTCTCTTTCTCTCTCTCTCACTCTGTCCCTTTCTGGTCAAATTAAAAATAAATAAATGAGTAAATAAAGTAATTAAAAAAGAAAAAAAGAAGCACTTAAGTTCTGATAGAAGGCTTGGACTACGTCTCTGCTATCAGACTGGAGTCTCCCTGAGGCCAAGGGCAATGACCCCACCCCCAAGGTTAGGACTCCCCAAAGATCTGACTCCACTGTTGCTTCAAATTTTCCCAGTGTCCACCATCCTGTTATTCTGACCCCTCAATATACTCCACTACAGGACCAGCCTTTGGGGCAAGTGCCCTGCAAGGCTGGAAGCCATATGGTTAACTATAGGCCCAGGATCCTGAGGAGCTGAGAAGAGGGGATTAGGGTGTAGAGAGACCCTGTCAAAGGCAATTCTCTCTCTCTTATGTGTGCATGTGCTCTAAACCATAAAAATAAAAAGCAACCCCTTGTGGTTGTCATAGCTCTACTTCTGAGGCCTGTATTTATGATGGTCTCAATGTCAGTCAAATAGAGGAAGACAAGGGACCAGCAGATGGTATAATGGTTACATCACTGCACTCCCACAGAGTTGACTGTAGTTCAAGGCCTGGACCCAGTATCTTAAAATTCACACCAGGTGCATGTGTGTGCATGTACAAAACCCAGAGAGGAGAGTGGAGGAGAAGGGATTGCGGTATGGCCATCCCTCCTGGGGGCAATTTCTCACTTTCTGTCTCTCTGGAGAGTCTATGTACCCTAGAGCAAAATTTCTCTAAAAAAAAAGGAAAAAAATAAAAGAGGAAGACAAACCCATGTGCAAATTGTGATGGGACACATCGGTCATATCAGAAACATACATACAGCAAGGAGGTCATATTTGGCTGAAGTAGGTCTTAATTGTCTATTTACCTTTATGTCTATCAATTCATCCAACCTCCTATGAACCCAACATTCCAGAAAAACATGGAGCGCTCCCGCTGACACACCCGGTATAATAAGGAATATACGGAAGCCTACCTAGTTCCTCTCACTTCCTTTCTGGTCAGAGATCAGGCAGTGACCACACATGTCCTGATCCTGTACACACAGGTCCTTCATCATGCCCAAATGACTTCTGCTGGGCCTTGGGTCCAGTCGAGCTGGGGAGGCTACCACCAGCAGGTCACTCAGAGTAACACCACGACTAGGAGGACTCTGAAAGAGGAGGAGGGAAGACACATCCAGTCGCCTCTTCTCGCCAGAGCTGCGGCTGCTGGGGCAGCACTCCCCAGGCAGGGAGGCATTTTCTGGAAAAGTAAAGCCATTGACATCATCAGTGTGTGCTGCTGGATTCAGTCCAAGTTTCTGGTGGAGGTCACCTCCCTCCCGGGCCCCTGACTCAAGCTGTCTGAACCAGAATCAGTCATCGTTCCTTTCGACCAATACATTCTCTGCCTTGCTGCTCACACTTAATGCGAGTAACTGCTACAGACTCAGCCGAACAGGCCCCATCTGAGTGAGAACCCGGAAATGTGGAAGACGGTCCTCAGATGTAACATTCTATTTCATCTTTTTTGTCTTCCTGATCAGACTACGGACTCCCTAAGGGAATAGACTTGTCTCCACTATCAGACTGGCCTTCCTGAGGCCAAGGGCTATGATCCCATCCTCAAGATTAGGTGTCCCCCGAGATTAAGGCTAGTTCTGTTGGATGCTCTCTCCCCTGAGCTCCTGGAACACCCCTGTACACGCTGGCACTCACGTGACTGGTGACTTGGCACCAGCTTGGGACTGGAGTGAGCTGGAAGCAAGGTGAAATCCCTCCTCAGGTCAGCCTTGAACAGCTCTGACATCTGCTGCTGCTTCTTCATCTCATTCTTTAGCAAAACCCAGCTTTGGTTCAGACTCTCCAAGAAGATGTGGGTTTTCTTAGGCAGAGAAGGTTTTGATAATTTCTCTTGAGTGAATTTCCGGGGGCTCTGGAGCTGCTTGCCTTTAGCGGAAACCACCCTGTCCATCTCTGGGCTACTGCATTCTGGGCTGGTAGTCATGGTCAAGCATGGCAGAGGCTCTGGGGAGACTGAGACCTGGGCGGTCGATTCTGGAGACATTTCTACTGGGGTTAAGGGCTAGAGGAGAAAATAGTCCAAAATAAGATCACAGAAAACAAGGATTCCCTCCTATGCTATTCTTAATTTTAAAACAAACAAAGAACAGATTAAGAGCCAGGCTCAGGCAAGTCCCTTGGCCTAATGGTCTGGGGAGCCAGATCCCACATAGCTGATTATATGGTTCCAATCCCGACCCTAGTGGCTTGAAAAACACACTGGGCATGTGGACATGTGTGCCCCAAATCCCAGCAGGATAAAGAAATAGAGGAGAAGAGATTGTGGCGTGACTGTGTCCCATTGTAAGGGGCTCTTTCCCACTCTCTCTCTGTCTCCCTGTCTGTCTTCTTGGTGAATACATGCACCTTCTGGCAGTTAAAAAAAAAAAAAAAAGAAAAGAAAAGAAAAAGAAAAAGGAAAAAAATAAATAAAAGGTCAGGCTCAGAAGCGGCAAGGAAGACTTAGGTTAGAACAGTTTGCTAACTATGAATTGGTTAAACCCTAGGGTAGAAGATAGTGGAGGAATTCAGTTTCCTCTTGAGGTCTTAAACGTGAGAACAACTATAAATTTTAGAGATGGGTGATCAGAAAAATAGGTATTATTTCACAGCCATTAGCCTGGAAAAATTAGAAGGCTGGAGAGCACCAGTGCTGGAGGGCATGCAGTTACAGGAACCACCTGCTGCTGAGAATGTAGAGCATACAGCCATTCTGAACCATCTAGAAATATCTGGCAAAATGAAATTACAAATACCCCGTGACCTAACGATTCTGCTACATACATATATCAAAAATAAGGTTTTTGTTTGTTCTGTTTTGACTTAGATTTTGCTCTAGGGCACATGCACTCGCCAGAGAGAGGGAAAGTGAGAACTCAACCCCTCTACTCTCTTCTTGGGATTTTGGGTGCACACGCACACATACCCAGTGTGATTTTCAAGCTGCTGGTTCTGAGACTTGAACCCTGCAGTCAGCCATGTTGAATTTAGAGCCTTAACCTCCATGTCACCTGTTGGCCCCAAAATAATTATTAAATAGTTCCTTAAAAATGTGAGTACCAGTGTTCATTCATGGTAGTGTTAGTAACGATGGTCAAAAGATGGAAACGCTCAAATGCTCATGGACTGGTGGTTAAGGCAGCTAGATCCCACATGCCCAAATACATGGCTCGAGCCCCAGTCCTGACCACTTGAGAACTGGGCACATATGTGTGTGCATCCAAAATCCCAAAAGGAGGGAGAGACAGAAAAGAGATAGCAGCACGACCATTCCCCATGGAAGGTGCCTTCTCTCTTAGCTCTCTGTCTCTCCATTCCTCTCCGGAGAACACACTAACCCTTTAGGGAAAAAAAAAAGAAAAGAAAGAACAAATACTTCAACTAAAAGGCAGAGGCTGTCATACAGGATTAGAAAGCATGACCCACGTGGGTCTGTCTAAAGAGAAGCCTTTTAAATAACCAATAACTGCAGAATACATGTTCTTTTCTTTTTAGGTTTTTGACATAGGCATGTGCACTTGCACGTACAATTTTTAGAATTATTTATTTAGGTGAGTTGCATTCGACTGTAAATTGCTTTGCGTGGGTTCTACAAGTCCAGGTCCGGGAACTGAGCAGTAAAAGATTTACCAACAGCATGAATCAAGAAAAGTTAGCCAAACTTCAGGCTTAGGTCCAGACAGGGGAAAGGGTACAGCTCATAGAAAGAAGGTGGTACAGCTGATGACAAAATGTTTCAGAGTCCTCTAAAAAAACTGGCTGTGAATAACATCGCTGGTATTGAAGAGGTGAACATGATTAAAGATGATGGGACAGATATTCACTTCGATAACTCCCAAAGTCCAAGCTTCCCTCTCTGCTGATACCTTCGCAATTCCTGGTCATGCAGAATCCAAACCAATCACAGAAATGCTTCCTGGAATATTAAGTCAGCTTGGTGCAGACAGCTTAACAAGCCTTAGGAAATTAGCTGAACAGTCCCCATGGCAAATCTTGGATAGCAAAGCACCAAAACCAGAAGACGTCGATGAAGAGGATGATGATGTTCCAGATCTTGTAGAAAACTTTGATGAGGCATCAAAGAACAAAGCTAACTAAAATCTTTGCTGGTTTTGGAAGCTGGCATGGACTAGATTTAACAAATCAGCGATGTGGTTCCAAAGTTTTACAGACACAGAGAACATTACCTGTTACTAGTTCAGTAATATAAATATTTTGTATATTAACAATGCTGTTTGTTCAGCATTTTTTGGTCATTTGATTTTGCATTTTGCACTTCCTCCCAGGATCTATTCTTCTGGTCAAAATATGAAGTATTGGTGCCAAAAAAAGAGAATTATTTATTTAATATTATTTATTATTATTTAATTTGCTATAGGGAACATGCACTCACCAGAGAGAGAGAGAGAACAAAAGTTAGAAAGCAAGCCACCAGGTATGGGACTCAAACCACGGTGTGCCATATAGGAGTCCAGCATCTTAACCACCATGCCACCTGCTGGCCCTCAAAGCATGTATATTTAATCTTAAGGAAAAAATAGGGCTCAGCAAGAAAGCAAAATAAAACAGAATATACAATGTGATGTACATATAACACAATCACATTTAACTAAATTTTATTTTATTTTTAAAAGAATTACTTATTTAATTTTATTATTATTATGTTTAATTTGACCAGAAAGAGACAGGGAGAGAGAGAGAGAGAAAGTGGAAAAGCAAGCTACCAGGTCCAGGACTTGAACTGTGGGCAGCCATGTGGGAGTCCAGCATCTCAACCACCACACCATCTGCCAGCCGGAACTAAATTTTAAATACATGCACTTACAATGTCTGCTTTGAGGCTGGCAGCAATGAGGAAGCAGTAACACAATGCTCTGGGATGCTGGCCCCACATGGGAATGTCCCAGGTTCGCATTAGGAGGTACATGCTGGTCATGTATCTGTGCCCACGAGCCAGGCTGGCCGAGGCTGGTGGTGAACCATGGTGTGGAAACCTTGATGGGGGTACCTCTCTCTTTTTCTCTCTCCCCTTCTCTCTCTCTTATGGAAAAAAAAAAAAAAACTAACTAACTTTAAAAAATAGCCTTACTAGGGCCAGCTGGTGGCATGGTGGTTAAGGTGTTAGACTCCCACATGGCTGACCAGGGTTCAAGTCCCAGACCTGGTGGCTTGCTTTCTCACTTTCCTTCTTTCTTTCTTTCTTTCTCTCTCTCTCTGGTCAAGTTAACTATAATAATAATAACTGATAAAGTTAAATAAATCATTCTTTCTAAAAAGATATCCTTACTGGGCCAACAGGTGGCATGGTGATTGGGGCAGTGGACTCCCACAAGCCCAAAAGACCCAGACGCAGTGGCCCAAAAATCACAACAAATAGATAGATAGAGAGAGATAGATAAATGTTTAATATTTTTTTACTTACAAAGAAACGTATAAACAAAAGATAGAGGATAGGACAGTGGGATACGAACACAGAAATAAAAGGAAAAAAGTGCTCTCGGTCCCATATTGAACTTTAGTTGGAAGAGGCGAGTCCGGTTTCAGAATGGAGGGTCATGATCCAAAAGAAACAGAGCAGTCGAGAAAACTGTTCACTGGTGGGAACCAGCAGTTAGCGTAATGGCTATGTCGCTGGACTCCCATGTAGTCGACCGCGGTTTGCGTCCCGGACCCGGTGGCTTAAAACTCACGCCGGGTACGTGTGCATGCGTGCCCAAGATCCCGAGAGGAGACTGGAGGAGAAGGGATTGCGGCATGACCATCCCCCCTGGGGGGTGATTTCTCGCTTTCTGTCTCTCTGTCTCTCTCTGTCTGTCTGGCAAGCGCACGTACCCTATAGCAAAAAAATCTCTCAAAAAACAAAACAAAACTGTGCACTGGTGACCTGAGCTTTGAAACTACAGATGATCGTTTAAGAGAACACTTTGAGAAATGGGGCACACTCACAGATTGTGTGGTTGTGAGAGACCTCCAAACAAAACGTTCCAGGGGCTTTGGTGTCATGCCTTTCTCTCGTGTTGAACAGGTGGATCAGCAGTGTGTGCTCAGCCACACAAAGCTGACCGGCGAGGAGTGGATCCAGAGAGCTGTTTCTACAGAGGACTCTGTAAAGCCTGGTGCCCATCTACCAGTGGAGAACATTTTTGTTGGTGGTATTAAAGAAGAAACGGAAGAATATAATTAAGAGACCACTTTGAAAAAGTTTGGCAAGATTGAAACCATAGAAGTTATGGGAGATCGACAGAGTGGGAAAAAGAGGATTTGCTTTGGTAACCTTCGATGATCATGATACAGTTAATACAACTGTCGTTCAGAAAGACCACACTAGTACTGGGCATAATTGTGAAGTCACAAAGGCCCTTTCTAAACAAGAGATGCAGACTGCTGGATCACAAAGAGGTCGTGGAGATGGATCTCCCAACTTTTTGGGTCTTGGAGGAAGCTTTGGAAATGGCAGAGGTAACTTTGGTCGTGGTGGAAACTTTGGTGGAAAAGGAGGCTGTGGTGGTGGAGATGGTAGCAGCAGAGGTAGTTATGGAGGAGGTGATGGTGGATGTAAGGGATCTGGAGGTGATGGTGGCAACTACGGCAGTGGTCCTGGTTATAGCAGAGGTGGCCATGGTGGTGGTGGACCAGGATACGGAAACCAAGGCGGTGGATATGGTGGTGGTGGGGGGGATATGATGGTTGCAATGAAGGAGGAGATTTTGGTGGTGGAAAGTACAATGATTTTGGAAATTATAGTGGATAACAGCAATCAGATTATGGACCCATGAAAGGGGGCAGTTTTGGTGGAAGAAGCTCAGGCAGTCCTTATGGTGGTGGTTATGGATCTGGTGGTAGAAGTGATATGGTAGCAGAAGGTTCTAAAAACAGCAGAAAGGGGCTACAGTTCTTTTTTTTCCTCCCCCAAGAATTATTTTATTTAACTTTATTTATTTTAATTTGAACAGAGAGGAACAGAGTGAGAGAGAAAGAGAGAGGAAAGGAAAATGAGAAAGCAAGCCACCAGTTCCAGGACTCAAACCACGGTCGGCCATGTGGGAGTCCAGTGCCCCCAATGGCCACGTCACCTGCCAGCCCCAGAGAAGGGCTACAGTTTTTAGCAGGACAGAAAGCGAGGAGTTGTCAGGAAAGTTGCAGATTACTTTGACAGAGTCGTCCCAAATACGTCCCAAATACGCTAGAGGAACTGTAAAAATTTGCCACAGGAGGAACGATGATCCATAGTCGGAAAAGTTACTGCAGCTGAAACAGAAAACTCTTCTTGTTCAGGACTGTCATAGCGATAGTTTGCAAGAAGTGCAGTTATTGATTAATGCAATATAGTGTCAATTAGATGTACATTCCTGAGGTCTTCTATCTGTTCTAACTTTGTGTTTTTCTTTTCATTACATCACTGTAAATTGTGGTAGCAGTACCAGGAATAAAAAATTAAGGAACTAAACAAACAAACAAAGGAATAAAATGAGAAAAGTGATACAAGGGACCAGCAGTTAGCGTAATGGCTATGTCGCTGGACTCCCACGTAGTCGACTGTGGTTCAAGTCCTGGACCCAGCGGCCTAAACTCACACCAGGCGCGTGTGCGTGCGTGCCCAAGATCCCAAGAGGAGAATGGAAGAGAAGGGATTGCGGTGTGGCCATCCCCCCCTGGGGGGTGATTTCTCACTTTCTCTCTCTGTCTCTCTCCGTCTTTCTGGCGGCCGCGCACAAACCCTCTAGCGAAAACCTCTCAAAAAAAAAAAAAAAAAAAAAGAAAAAAAAAAAAAAGACAAAATGTCACTGCCTTATTTATTTATTTATAAATTATTATTTTAATTAACTTTATTTATTTACTTTAATTTGACCGGAGAGGGACAGAGTGAGAAAGAGAGAGAGAGGGAAAAAGCAAGCCACTGGGTCTGGGACTCGAACCGTGGTCAGCTATGTGGGAGTCCAGCACCCTTAATCACCACACCACCTGCCAGCCCCCAACTGCCTTTTTATTTTTTTAAAAAAATCTTTGTAGGGGACTAGCAGATGGTATAATGGTTATATCACTAGACTTGCATGTAGTTGACTACAGTTCAAGTCCCAGACCCAGTGGCTTCAAACTCATGCTAGGTATGCGTGTGTGTACATGTCCAAAATCCTGACAGGAGATGGAGGAGAAGGGATTGCAGCCCAGCCATCCTCCCTAGACAGTGATTTCTTGCTCTCTGTCTGTCTGCTTGTCTGTCTCTGGTGAGGGCACATGCCCTATAGCAAAAATCTCTAAAAATAAAAAAACCTCTGTAGAGTTCGGTATTACTGCTTTAGTTAATTTAGGTTAATGAGACAAGAATAAAGGCAGTCTTAGGTAGCAGTAATATTAAAATAACAGCTAGTGCTTACTAAGTGCTACCGTGCCAGGCGCCACCCTAAGGGTTCATAAATCCTTTGATTTAATGTATTAACCCACTGGGAGGTACTATGATTAAAAACCTATTTTTTTATATGTGGAAACTGAGGCTTAGGAAAAGTAGAGTGACTAGATGAAAGTCTTGTGTATATTATAAGGAGAGCCATCCAGTGCTATGGTAGGTAAGGCAACTGGATTCCACAGGGCAGATTATGCAGTTCAAGTCCCAGACCGGTGCTTGAGAAGCACACAGTGTGTGTGTGCGTGTGTGTCCAGAATCCTGAGAGGAGAATGGAGGAGAGGGGATTGTGGCGTGGCAAAGTAGAAAATCAATTGTCATGTTAATATTTTTAATTCAGGGACCAGCAGTTCACTTAATGGCTATATCACTGGGCTCCCATATAGTTGACTGTGGTTCAAGTCCCGGCCCCGGTGGCTTACTCACGCTGGGCACGTGTGTGTGCGTGCCCAAGATCCCGAGAGGAGAATGGAGGAGAAGGGATTGTGGTGTGGCCATCCCCCCTGGGGGGTGATTTCTCGCTTTCTTTTCTTTTTTTTTTTGAAGAGGTTTTTGCTATAGGGCACGTGTGCTCGCCAGACAGACAGAGAGGAGATAGAGAGACAGAAAGCAAGAAATCATCCCCCAGGGGGGACGGCCTCGCTGCAATCCCTTCTCCTCCATTCTCCTCTCGGGATCTTGGGCATGCACGCACACGCGCCCGGTGTGAGTTTTAAGCCACCGGGTCCAGGACGCGAATTGTGGTCGACTACGTGGGAGTCCAGTGACATAGCCATTATGCTAACTGCTGGTCCCCCACTTTCTGTCTCTGTCTCTCTCTGTCTTTCTGGCGAGCGCACATGCCCTATAGCAAAAAAACTCTCTAAAAAATACATATTTTTTTAATTCAAATTTTATTGTTCTTTGTTTTGTTTCAGTGCTGTGGCTGTAAAAGAGCTGTAAGTATAAAGGCTTACATCTCATTTTATGCTTTCATGTATTTACAAAAATAATTTAAGTCTACAGTGGAGGTCTGTTTAGGTGGGGTACTGAGTTCCAAAGTGTATTCTCAAAATTACGTCCAACAAGATCCTCAGAATGAGACCTTATTTGGAAATAAGGTCTTCAGAAATATATTAGTCAAGTTAAAATGGGGGTCATACTAGATTAGGGTAGGTCCTAAATCCAGTGACCAGTGTCCTTGTAAGAAGGCCATGGTCCAGCTAATGGTGTGGTGGTTACGGTGGCTGGATCCTACATGGACGACTGCATAGTTTGAATCCTGGACACAGCAGATTGAAAAACACTCCAGCCATGTATGTGTGTGTGCATGTGTGCATGCCCAAAATCCAGAGAGGAGAATGAACTGTGTCATGGACACCTTCCCTGGGGAAGGGGTACTTTCTCACTCTCTCTCTAGAGAACACACATGCCCTAGAGCAAATTTTAAAAGAAGACCATGTGAAAACAGAGGCAGAGATTAGAGTTATGCTGCCACAAACCAAGAATTCCCAGCAACCACCAAGATTTAGCAAGAGCAAGGAAGGACCCTCCCTTTAGAGCCTTGGAACACGGCCCTGCCGATACCTTGATTTCAGACTTCTAGAACTATGAGAAAATAAATTGTATTTTTAAAAAATCACTCATTTATTTAACTTTATTTATTATTATTTTTCAACTTGACCAGTGAAAGAGAGAGTGAGAAAATAAGCTGCCAGGTCCGGGACTCGAACCATGGTCAGCCACGTGAGAGTCCATTGCCTTAACCACCATGCCACGTGCCAGCCCGGAAATTGTAGTTCTAAGCCATTAAGTTCATAGTAATTTGTCATTGCATTCCCTAGGAAACTACTTCTGGTGGTAACCTGCCTGAGAACAGGGACCAGAATGCCAGGCTCCGGGCTGAGCACAGCCTTCTACTTACCACAGCGCCAGTGAGGACGTTCACTGCAGGAACAGACCTGGCCCCCTGGACTGTGGAGGCAGCTTTACTGAGCTCCAGCTCAGAGGAGCTGGGATTCGAGTTCCTCAGGTCAGGTACAGAGCAGGAGGGCCTTGGAGATGTGGGCCTGGAGGGAGCAGCGCCATCTTCCTTCGGGGCCTCCTGGTTGAGGCTGCTGTCTCTCTCATTTTTCTTTATGTCTGCGACACTCAAGAGCAAGTCAGGTGTGCAGGACACTAATGTCAAGGGGTGGAAGTACTGGGGAGGAAACCAAACACACGGGCTGTGGGAACCCAGCTCCGTCCACTTCTGGAGTCATCTGCACTCAGGGCAGGTGCACGGGAGAAGAGACGAGGAGAGCAGTCTGCACCCACATCTTCCCAGCCTGGGGCTCCTAACTTAGGCTACTGGCTCCCCCTAGGGGGTTCGTGGATGGCTTCAGGGGGACTTGGAGCCATTTTGAACTGCAGTTTTAAAAGTGTGCATTGTGGGGGCCGGCAGGTTTGCTCAGTGGTTAAAGTGCTGGAGTCCCACATGGCTGACCGCAGTTTGAGTCCCAGACCTAGCAGCCTGAGAATCACGTGGGGCATGTGTGCGGGTGTGCCTAAAATCTGGAGTGGAGAATGGAGGAGAAGGGATTGCTGTGGGGCCACTGCCCAGGGGGTGATTTCTAACTTTCCCTCTTCTGTCTCTCTCCAGCAAGCACATGAGCCCTATGGCAAAAACCAAAACCAATCAAACAAAAAAAAGCCCTGTGTAGCCGAGTACATGTACCCTATAGCAAAAATCTCTCCAAATAAAATAAATAAATAAATAAATAACCTGTGTATTGTTTCCTTTATAACAAAAGATTCCATAGCTTTTGTTCAGATTCTCAAAGTGTCTGTGACCCTAAGAAAGTTTAAAAAGACACAACAAAAGCCTGCTCTAATCCTTTCAGATGAGGCTTTGAGATAAAGAAGATGGATTGGAGTTAACCGAATCTTTCCACTGAGCAAGAGGAGAACACTGGGCAGAGAAGGGACGACTGCGGAGCTGGCCCACAGCCTGGGGGCTGCCCATGCCATGCAGAGGGCAGCGGGAGGGACTAGCATGGCCAGTCAGTCCTAGCAGTGTCCCAGGAGCTCTTCC